ATCAAAAGTTTTAGGCAGACAAAAATGAACAAATTAGTGAAAATAGTCATTCAAGGGCAAACATTCTTTTAAGAGATACCAACGATTCTGTCAATATTTGGCTTATTTGCATATCTTGTCTTGTGAATTAATATTTTTTTCTTTTTTAAATTTCTCTCGGTCTATTATACAATGTTTTAGTTTTTAAAAAGACAATAACGCAAACAATTGGTAATACTCATCATCTAGGGGCAATAAGTCAACTGACAATTTCGATCATTTTTTTATTCTGAAAAATTCAATCAATCTATTATGGTTTCAAGATCATATGCAAAAAAAAACCCCAAAAACGATTGTAAAAGTCGATATTACAGGGCAATAACTCCAATTAGGAGTCCACTGACGATACCGGCCATGGAACTTATTTACAAATCCTACGATTTTTCACCCATTACACTACCATACCACATAAAAAATTAAAAACCCGTCTTACAGAAAGAATCAACATTGCCTTCCTCCATAAAATGGTACCATAAGCTACAAATTTATCTTATAAGGGATATAATTCGGCATATTCTTTTAAATGAGCTCTAAAATGAAACATGCTATACTAAAGAATAAATAATCAGTACGCTGGCAACATATTTTTGGAATTCGGAGGTATTATTTCCCAGCAGGTTATCAGCATTCCTATGGGAACCAACTATTCACTTCTATAGCTACTGGCCAACCTTTTCTTATTTTCATATGAGTCGGAACACATTCAGAAACTTACAAAAAACAAGAAGATCAATGAAGCTAGATCCTTTAATCTCATACAGGTATATTGTTGATGTTCTTTCCATTAACAATATAAAATTTTCGGATTGGGTCCCATTGGTATATTCCCCAGAACTATAATTAAAGAAACCACCAATATAGCTTTCGCCGCCTTATTTCTAGACATATACATAGAATTTGACTACTGCGGAAATATCAGACCCAGAATATTTGACAAACGGGACGATTTCAAGTTTGAAATTATAAATTTTCCTCTCCTATACAAACTTCACCCGCGTATGAAGTATAGATTTATCAACACATACGGTTTTCAAGAGCTTGCTGCTGTTACTTAGACTTTGTAAAACTTCATCAGTGTTTGAGCAAATATTATATTGCCAAGGTTTTTTCAAAGAATGTCTTGTCCTTTTTCTCATAAATTTCATTGGAAAGGATCTAGACCTATTAAATAGAAATTCAGTGTATACTTCACAAATAATACACGACATTCCAAGTGCTGAAGTTTTTTTTACTTTACAGTTTTCCCTTTATTTGTCTTTGTGCTATTATGTTCTTTTGAGTCAAATGACTGCTGACGTTACTCGCTATTTAGACATACAGCTATAGGGCTTTTGGTTTGGGCGTTCCTTGTGCAGTTGGGTCCAGAGAGGCTATTTAGTCGCAAACTTATTTTTACAGTGTTATTTTCATTTTGTTTACCCTTGTATTTATATTTTATTTAATTTGTACTTTATTGAGATAGTACAGACTATATACTATATGTATTACCAACAACAACAATTTTTTAAACATTAATCGCTCTTTATACATACAGCTATAGGGGTTTTGGTTTAGGCGTTACTAGTGCAGGTGGGTCCATAAGTGTTATTCAGTCGCAATCATATTTTACAGTGTTTTGTTCGTTTTGTTTCCCCTTATATTGCTATTCCACTTAATTTGTACTTTATTGAGAAAGTATAGACTATAAACTGTATGTATTATTAACAAAAACAACTTTTTTACCGGCATCTTTGTAAGATGTTTTAGTCATTTGTGTTGTATCTCTGTGCTTTATGTTTATTCAGTTTTTACTGCTGCATCCCGATTTTTGCCACATTAACCTATTATGTCTATTTAGATTGATTGTGGCCAAGTCTGTTTCAATTGGGCCAGTAGTTTCAGAGAAAAAGATTTTTGTAAAAGTTAACGGACGACAGACGACGAAGACAAACGACGGATGCCAAGTGATCAGAAAAGTGATAAGAAAAGCTCACTTGACCCTTTAGGTCGGGTGATCTAAAAAGCGACGTGTAGCATTCACCAGTGAGTCAGAAATCCAACGACAAGAATAACTAGTTGACATCCAGATGGCAGGGAAGTGAAATACGCTTCGGACAAAAATTTTGAAGAAAGTGTTATTTACATTAACAAATAGAGATGGGTCTACACAATATGTCAATCTCTAAATCGAACATATACTTAACCGATGACAAGGTTATTCGTAAGTTCGTTTTCCTTGTAAAATCCTTTGCGGTCTTGAACTTACAGGTGCAGTGAAGTAAACTTTTATTGTAAATAGTAAATTGAGGCCCTCACTGGGAGTTAGAAATGAAAAAAACAACTATAAACCGCCGTTACTTTGGTTTGATGTAGAGTTTATTTTGTCAAAAATGAATGCATGATATTCCTTATTTTGTTATTTTAATGTCCACGTATATGCCTTACAAATGTGTAATGCGTTTCTTTATTTCACTTTTACAACTTTTTACTATCATATTGAAAAAGCGTAAAAGAATTAAATACATAAAGCCATTTAGATTATTAGACAGTAACAATGCCATATACCAAACTAACCTTCTGAAAATATAAAAAAATGTATAAAATAGATAATTTAAAATATTTATTATGCTTTTTGTTCAAATTAAACATGTTGAGTAACGGCAAATCAAACTATAAATACATTAGAATTAAAAGTTCATTGGCATGTTAAGTGCAATTATGTTATATTTGGTCTTTAAAGTTCAACATTCTTTGACCAATGAGTTAAAAGTTTATTAATTATCTTTAAAATCAAAAACACCAACACCTATTTCCTCAGATTGTATTTCACATGGGAGCATTTCAAACTTTCAATTTCTGTTAACATTTCCAATATCAGCTGTGTTAGTAAATCTATGAGATTGAAGCAGTATTATGTTGTATTTATAAATACTGAAAGACAGTTAAATCCTATTTTTTATGCTTACAATTTTAAAAGAACACACACAAACTAGTAAATGATCAGGCGTATAAACATATATTTCTAGTTTCTAGTCCGATTGAAGTAAGACATGAGGTCTTAAAACTGTATAAGCAGGACCATATATTTCAACTCGATAAAGGGACTTCAATAGTCGTAAATATGTTGGTTTTGGAGTTTTGTTCTGCCTCCATTTTTGTAACACTTTTCTGGTTTGCTCCAAAAGTTTGTTTTTAAGATCATGTTGAATCTGTTGTATATAAGATAAATCCACCTCTAACTCAATGGCAAGTTGCATGGTGCTGTTCCCAATGTGGTTTGACAAATCATGAAGTGCATTGACTGACGGAATTATGTTCAAGGTGTCTTCTGGCATATCTTTAACAATAAAATAAAGACAAGTGGTATTTTTCCATAGTGTTAACATATCATATTAGTCTTTATTATTCATATACCTTTTATTTTCCTCTTCGTCATAAAGCTTCTCACATATTCAAGTAGTTATACATCTGGAGCATTAAAATATTGTTGTTTTCAAACCCTCCTGGATGAAGGTAAATCCAGATGAGCTGTTAGGAATACCAACGTTCTTTGATACCGGATTTCTAACACTGTATTATGCATATTTATTTTGTAATATCGATATATTTGAGGTGTTTTGTTCTTATTTGGTATTGCCAATCGACACGCCCCCACCCCACCCCTTACATTTCCGTCTCCATTGATAGTCAGCCATACAACTAAGGCGTAAATATACTCATAAAGATAGTTTGACTCCGCCAAACGTTGAAGTGAATGTTCCAACGAGGGAAACCAGAAGTTTTCATTTCATGATGTTATTTTTTTTTATCAATTTGAAAAATTGAGGCAAAGTCTTTTGTATGTTGCTGATTAAATGTTGTTGTCTTTAAGTTTGTATTGTACTGTTGGATTTCTAACTTATTAAAGCACATATTTTTACATTCATTATTAATGTCTCCCGTATTTTTCGAATCTCTAACCGTGTCTGTGTTTCATCCCCGTGTGTGTGTTTTTAAAAGAAGACCTATATACTTCACACCGGTTTAATAAAAATAATTTAAGAAAGAATATTCAAAATCAAAACTGGAAATGTGTGTTTTTATCTTTACTAATCGATGAATGAAATAAATGATTTTCTGGATACATTGGATGAAATTGGTCGAACGCTTTTTTATGATAGATAAAATATAACGAATCAGCTTACCATATATGTCTATCAAGACATCTCTAAACACCTGAAATATAATAGCAATTTAGGTTACTATAGATTCAACATATTTATGTTCCGTTGTTTTTCCTCTTATAGTTGATGTGTTTCCCTCGGTTTTCGTTTATGACCCGGATTTGTTTACGCTTAATCGATTTATGACTATTGAACAGCGGTATACTACTGTTACCGTTATCTAACAGTTAATTATAGATGTGATAAAATTTAAAAAAAAAAAAAAAAAAAAATTGAAAATCTACTAGTCAATACAAGCCGTAGGCAAAATGCAAAAAAATAATTGAAAGAACACAAAGAACTCATAGAAGTGTACAACAATAAACATGGAACATTCCCGAATTTAGCCTTAGAATGATGTTTTCGAAATCTCTGACGAAATCTATGACGTAATGATTTACCAGTGATACATATATAACATGCATTGAAAACTAAAACGTCACTAATTACACGAGCATAGCCAACGAGTTTGGATTTTTAAAAACCATTGGATGGGGGCAAAGGAACATCGCTGTTCACAGAAGGAAAATACAAAAAGGAAAGAAAAACGTCTCTAAGATCGTAAATTTTGTATAGAGTTTCACGTATGCAACTGAAATATGTTAATCTAGGAAAGGACAGTTTTTGTTGTTTATGATTTATTCTTTTTTTGAAAGTTATATGTGTGTAAGGTTCGGTCGTTTTTTCATATCTTGTTTTTGGAATGACTCAAGTTAAAGCTGTACATGGGATACACGTCTGAAATACTCTGATATTTTGAAGAGTATACTTACCCGACAAAGTAGATGTGGATTCAGTCCTATGTTTTCCAGAACATGTTTCAGATCGTTGAAGCATAAATGTCTGCTCCTTATCGTACAAGACCATAATGCCATAAATTTAAGGTCATTTGAAGGCTGATGCTGGAATTGGTACTCTAAATCATACCACTGTTCCACCTTAAGTCCTAGACATATAGTAATTTGACGACACTCATCAGGCGAGAGTTGTGCTGCTAGCCTTCTTATATGATGTGGTAAAGGACACTGCTCCCTTTCTACTTTTCCGAGTCCTAGGCGTTATAACAGATCGTATTGTTATAATGGGAAAGTTTAAACCGTGTTATTTATATACAGATGATATTTGAAATTTAAACACCTTATACCATTAATGTACCAATGTAACTGCAAGAGATGCACATTTCGACACTAAATATCTATTTGTGATGCTCGAGGCCAAATTATTTGAAATCCTTATACGAACGCCTAAGAGCTATAAAACCCACTTGGTGCAAAAGAATAGCTGATGCATGATAAGAATAAAAGAGGAAATATCGTATGCATTTAGTCACAATTTTAAAAGTTATGAAAACCAGTAAAACGCGAATCGTATCTTTTTTTTCCGGGGGTAGTAGAGTTTTACAGTATCAATATAGAATCACAATTCTCATGACAAATTCATATTTGGTTTGATTAAGATATAGAGTGCGCTGAAAGAATGAAATATGTTTTATATTCTACCAACCTTGAATGTGTGACAAAAGGTAATATATATATATATATATACGATACACGTTGTCATAGGTAAGATGAAAAAAAAAAATAAAAAACGCTCCGTACAATTTTTATGATATAACTACAAAACGGAGAACTTGAGACGTGAAAGTTTCGTCGTTATTATTAAGTTTTCATACACATAAAAAATTATCATTTTCCTCAACAATTTTATTCACAAAAGTTTACAAGTTTCAGGATAAAAACATTAGGATGACAATGACAAGTCATAATGATGCCTTAGTTGTTGTGTTGTAGTTTGCACAAAGCATGACAAAATTTTTTTCCATGACTGTATGCTTTGATACAGATTTGAAATATACCCATAAGAATATTGATTACTGCTAATTCACCAATTGTATGCGGCTTAATATACATATTCGAAAATACACATTAGAAAAAAGAGCAAGGTAAATTTATATACTTAACGCCTATCTTAAGTTATCAAATATGACGAATAAGATAGTTATAACTATTTAGTTTTTCATTCAAATTCGTGCTACTCTAATTAAAGAGCATATGGTTTATTCACGAAATAAGTTATATATTTCGCTCATGTATAAGAAACAATTGACAAAATAAAATAGAATGTGCAAATATCGCTTCTCAAAGTAATAATGATGGGTTTTTCAAAAAGAGGTAAAAGATACAAGACAGAAAAAGATTGTACACAAGACGCTCGTCCTTAAGAAGGAAGTAAATCGGTACAAATACAACATATATAATTGATTTAACCATTTACATAAGAGCACTTCTATAATTTTAATGTAAAGTACAGTATGTGTATACTTACCGTTGCAAAATCTTGTACATCCGTCACATGGTTCCTTTAAAAAACATCACCGAATTAAACATTTATGGACATGTTATCGTATTTGTAAAACGACAATAACCAAAAATAAAAGAAAACCACAAAACTCCGAAATCTTCTTTAGAATAAGGGGACAGTAGTTTACTGATGTTCAAATCTCCTACATCGATTATGAAAAGACATCAAGATAACAAACAAAAAACAAAAATTGCGAAAATTGACGCCAACAACTGATTTGTATATTAAAAAAATGATTAATTCGAAATATAATTGAAAAATAACAGAATTTTTGCTTCCTTAATAAAACTTGAATTGACTTACTTGTCTTCTATTCAAATTTTATGGATAGTTGTCTAATTGGTAATTATACTGTATCTCTTGTTTTGATGTTCGAACAATATTTTTCAATCCATTGCTTACCTTTTCTGAAAACCAAGCTGTGAGACTTTTAACAGCATGTCGTAGCTTATGCTTTTTACAAATCCATATTGGTTCATCAGTTGATAACGGAATCTCATTATGATTAAAGAAACATAAATCTGATTTGCAGAATACACCAAATTCAATTTTAAACGGAATAATTGAATTTACATGCGCTGATGTTACGTCTTCGGACAACATTGAGTAGAATTCCGAGATTCGTATTATCGCTGCCGTCAGACATTCCTGGAGAGAAGATGCCAGAGTTGGAATTATATCTCCTTTGGAGTTGGCATGGATAAGTGACACAATAATCCTCTTCGTTTTTACCTGGACTGCTACGTCATGAAAGTTGTCAACCTTAAAAACAGCTAGATCACTAAACAGCATTCTTTTCTCTCTGTTTTTTTCTTTATAATTTTTTATATCCCACCATGTAATGAACGAACTAAGAAAGCGATATGACAACGCTGGCGGTATTACCTCTTCGATAAATGTATAAGCAAGTACGATTGAATTATTTGATTTCCAAAATCTTTTAAGGAACTGTGTGTTGTTTCCTTTGGTTATCATGCAAGGGATCATAAAGAAAGAAACATCTTGAATTTGACTGTTTACATCTTCAAAGCTTGTTCTTGGAGCAATCAAAACATCAAGATGAACAAGGATCTGAAGCATATAATTCTTGTATGGCAGAATATGCCTAAAATTATCTTGCCCCCAAAGATGATAGATGTCATCCCTTTCAATCATCCCAGTTTTCTTAAGCTTTCTAAGAATCGCAGAAAACATCTTCCCTCTTGGCCAAAACTGTTTTTCTGTTACTATGGATCGTAGGACTTCAACTAAGTACGCTGGTGATATAATGATAAAATCACGGAGTTTTTCCACATCAAAGTACAACAGCTTTCCAAGCGAGTGTTGTACCTTTAAAAAAAATTCTATCTGCCTCTCTGATAAGATCATTGACTTATTTTTGGAATTCATTGCCATTAGTTGGTCACGGGAAATAATATTTGTACCTTCAGCAGATTTCTGGGCTAATTGCAACTCCAATGGAATCCATTTCGTTGGCATCGATTCGCCCCATCTGGGATGTTCAGTTGCTCTCAGCATTAGATTTTTTCTAAGTTCCCCAATTTCAGGATCTTCTGGATTTGTGGCATCAACAAATATCAGCGGTTTAAATTCTAAATGCTTTAAGCCAGCATGTGATTCAAACAATTTTTGCAGATCATCTTCGAGTTGTTTTCTTCGAGCTTTTCGTGACCACTGTAATTTAGAATATATATTCTTTATCAATTATCGTTTTGAAGCCATGGATATTAAAACAGCATTATTCTGATAACGCATACTTGAATAAGCTGTTAGATATTTATTATGGGTATGATAGTTATATCAAAACAAATATGAAATTTACACATTTTACTAAAGAATGATTACTAAATATACACTCCCAAACTTAGCTGCAATATACCAACTTCACCTTCATATGGGATTTACATTTCCCAACTCATTCAGTATTCAAGAGGTTGCAGCTGCTACTCATACTTTATAAAACGTCACCAGTGTCTGAGCAGAACGTTGATGAGCCAAGATTATGTCAAAGAACGTCTCGTCCTTTTTCTAAAAAGTTGATTGGAAGATACCAAGACCTTGTAAATATTCCGTATCAACTTCAGAATTAATACATGATGGTCTTGAAGTATAGATTCTAGGTACTGACGTTGTTTATCATCTTAATTACGTGTTAAAGTTTCCCCTTTTTTCTGTCCTTGTATATTTTTAACCTTTACTGTTTAGTCCATTTTTGATTCTATACTTATGACGTGGCTCAGTACTTATACATCCCGCCATTGTGTTATTGTGCTATGGACCATTTTGAATTCTTGTCTTTCATTTATGCTAATGTACTTTGTCTATATGCATTTTGTGTGTTTTTGTTGTTCATAGACAATTGAGAGATTTAGCTAGATATAAAACCAGGTTTAATCCACCATTTTCTTCATAAGGAAATGCATGTACCAAGTCAGGAGTATGACAGTTGTTTTCCATTCGTTAGATATGTTTGAGCTTTTGAATTTGCTATTTTATAAAGGAATTTCCGTTTTGAATTACCCTTGGAGTTCGGTATTTTTGTTATTTTACTTTCTACCGTACCGAGTGTGAACGGATTGTTTTTCTTCTACAGACATTTTAATTTCAAATATACTAGATGATTGCCAAATATTTTCTTTGTTTTATCACTTAACTATGAGATGCAGTGTACTAAATTATATTTCAAATGGTTTGTCAGTCCTTTCAATGGTCCACCAAAAAACGACTGTGCGCTATCAATGCTATGTCATCAGACACAATCGCCTTCTGTTCTTGACGTCACAATAGCGAAATCAATGCAAAGCGAAAAAATGTGACGTCGTTATAAAACATTTGACCAGTGAGGAATGAGATCAAGCGAGCCAAACATTGATCATAAGAAATAACCAACCATTCGAGGAAAGTATAAATTGGTTAAAAAAAAAACTCATTTAATTCAAATGTAAAATCATCCCTTTGCAGTAGTAATAATATTTTTATTTACCTTGAACCATTTCTTATCTTTATGTGTAGCTACAAAGACAATTCTTGGAAAACCGTTCTCTGTTCTCTTACAGTAAGTCAAGATTGAGTTGACCCAGTGTAGAAGATACACTAAACAAATATAAATTGATGCTGTTTTCATCTATCATATTATTTATACATAAACATGAATAAGCGGAGGTATATTGGATATTAAACAGGGAAAAAACCCTGCCATAAACAAAGCAAAACCTGCTGGCTACCGGGAACATCTTTTGTGCGGACTTCATTCGTGTGTTATTTTGTGCGTTGTGTTCGTGCTATTTCATTTTTCAATTTTGTGTCTGTCTACAACGGTTTCTAAATCCTTAGTCCAAAGCAGGTATCGTTGAAGGATTTTAAATCGGTTTATGTGTATCAATAGTGTGTTAATTCGTCTAGGGGTCAGACAAAACACACTCACCAATCCACTAATATTGTGTAATTGCTAATCATCGAATAGGCTTTAATTCGTCAATTTCTTCAATTTCAGATATATTGAAGATTGTATAGCACTCGTTTACCAACAATTCAGTGTGTGCTGAGATATCAGTTATCTACGAAATTTGACATTTTTATACTACCATGTCTAGAAAGTCTTCCATTTTTGAAATCTTTTTTCTTTTATATTGACACAGAATTTAACTTTTATCTATGACAAACGTTACGATTTAAGCTATCAACTGTCCATTTTATGGCAGTAACATACCATCTCTCTCATCGTATGGCATTTCCAAGTAGTGAAAACTGAACTCATCCCGTATTAAATTGTAAGGACGCCTTCACGATTTGGTTACCCGTATTGGAATATCTGTTTCACAGATGACGACGAATGTGTTCAAATTGTCGTAACCACATACCCGTCCTCTTTTCCCTGGATGTGACCTATCGGATTAGACTGATCACCGAGTTTATTTACATGAGTTACACGACGGTTGTAACAGGTGGAGCAGGATATGCTTACCCATCCAGAGCACCTGAGATAACCTCCGGTTTTTATGGGGTTCGTGTTGCTCAGTAGTCTTGAGTTTCCTATGCTGTGTTTTGTGTAATGTTGTTTCTCGTTTTCCTTTTTTGCCGTGGCGTTGTCAGTTTATTTTCGACTGATGAGTTTGAATGTCCCTTTGGCATCTTTTGCCTCTCATAATATCTCAAATGATACGTTCACATTATACGGATATTATTAGCAGTTTTATACTCCTCATGCAAAAGTTGCCCTAGTTATTAAGAAGAACGACCAAAATCGACAATACACAAGTTTTACGGAAAACATCAGACATTGTTAAATCAACACGATGCAAAAGTGTCTCAACTCTTCAGAGACATGTTGTCGAGGTCTTAGAACATCACTGAACCATTACAGATTATCAATATAATCAACAGTAAAAAAGAAAGTATTCATTGAAATTATAGTACCTGCAATTGTGGGTTTCCCGAAATGTCCAGGAAGAAAGTTAAGTTCGGATATGTGTTTGTGTAGATCAATACAGCCGTTAAACATTAATACAAAGATGCCCCTGCTTGTAATGAACAGCTGGTGAGTCATGTAATAATCCTTTTGACCTCCAAAGTCCCATATATCTATGGGTACTATCCTTTGCTTGTATTTACCTTCCTTCACTGCTTTCACTAACAGTTGGTGTATTTTATCATAGGACATATCACTTGTTCTTTCTGTTGTCAATACACATTCGGAATCGACCGGCAGATACAGTTTATTCTCTGATGCTTCTGTTAACTGAGAGGAAATTGCATGTTTCCGTTCAATCGATGTTTCTAAATCACCAACTAAAGAAGTGCTGTCATGACGTTCCTGTTTTGGGAAAGTTATTCCTTCGTCCGTTTCATTGCGTGGTGACTTTTCAGATCTTAATTGTTGGTCTGGACTATAATGAGATATCTTTTCTGTATTTACGTCTTTAACAAATGAATCACTGAAAGTGTCAAAAGACTGGATAGCTGTACATGTATAACATGTGTTATTAGGTTTATTTCTTTCTTCTGGAAAAACTTTTGCATTAGGCATTGGTTTAAAGAGATCAAACTCTACAGATTCTTCTCTCTGGTGCAGTTCGTCGTGTTCATAGTGTGCAGCACTTTTTTGTTCTCGGTGTTTCGTTTCGTCCAGCGGAAATGATTTAATGTTAACAATATCTTTTATTTCTGACTCAGATTTGCTGAATTCCGTTTTGCCTACAAAGATTTTGTCTTTATTTGTTTTTGTTTCGTTTTTAATTTCGATTTGATAGGGTGGTCTTTCCTGATGTACAGAAACCGTGGATAATGTACGTTTGGTTGGAGGCACATTTTCATTCAAAGTGACACTGTGCATGTTATCTTCCATAACGAAACTTCTTGTTTCATTTGTAGAAATAGACATTAGCATATTTGTCAGTACTTCTGTGATCGCATTACCTTTAAAACATTACATAAGAAATCATTTTTTTAAGATAATGATTATAAAGGCTATATATTGTATCCATTACTCAATCATGTGTACTTAAATAAGTGTTGAACTACAATAACAATCCTTCTCAAACAACATTTCTAAGACAACTGTGAAATTTAAAATTGTTTTCTTGAATTTCCAAAAGGCATAGTAACGTTGACCTACATAAAACTGTTAAAAAATGTGTCA